CCACACATAGATGCAGAAAGGACTGAAGGTGAAATTAAAGCAAAATTTGTGTCTGAATTCAAATCTATGATCCCAAAACAGCTACCTAGCTGCTGGGTAGCTTCTTTGGTTTTTTGTGCCTTTATTAATTCAATAAACTTTGTTTTGCAACATATCATAAGGGACTTGATCCATAAGTTACTCACAGGGCACTGCCAAAGGCTCAAGGAACCAAGCAGTACTTAAAATCAGAAACCATTTATTTTAACATCTCTGATGGAAGACAAAACTGAGCCACAACAATGGCCATGGCACTCACTCTTTGTGAAGAAATTCAAACCAACCATGAGTCTAAAAAAAATCAGTAAAATTACTCAATACCTCCAGCAATGTAACAGTGTTTCAGGAAATGGCCCAGCACAAACATGCCACCTTTAAGCATATGAAACTAAAACAAAAAATAAAAGCACCCTGTCCTATCAGCAGCTATCTAACCATTTTCATCCAGGGGGCACAGATACACAGAGAGGAAACACAGTTTGCCTAGTAAGACACCTGGAAGACTACAGCCAGTTTGGAGCCTGGGGCCAGCAGTCTATATAAACCATTCAGCTTTTCCAAGCTGGAAAGTGGTTAAAGAAGGAATCACTCACACAACCCTTAGAAGATTTGTTGGTCAAACAGCTGCAATTCCAAAAAAATTCCCAGTGGAGCTAATTGACAACTGTTATGGAAAACAAATGGATTAAATGGTCTGCTACAGAGGGGCAAAAGGAAAAATTCCAGGAAAGAGCTGAAGAACAGCACCATGAAGCAATCCTCAACGCAATTTTCTGACTTTCCTACATGCCTTCTTTCCCTTCTCCACAGAAAGTGACATCCACGTCACTTCCTTCCTCAGCTCACCTCTCCCCTTCTGCTGCCATGAAAATAAAGTGGGTCCTGTGGCTTGTAAATTAGCCTTCAGAGACCTGGGTTGCCTGTTCTACCTGATGACTTAAGGGAAAGTGTCAATCTCATTTTACTTCCAAACTGTGCAGACTGGTAAACCACCATGCAAAGTGGCTGCATGATCAGCGGTCTCTGCTCCAGTAAAGTCTGGGACTGAAGCACCGAGAGAAACACAGACCAAAAGCTCTATAAAGCTGCTCGTGCAGCACCTGGTTACTTATATATGACATTAACTAATGGTTTAAGCACCCTTGAATTCAGAAAAAATAGGTTCAGAATATTTGGGTTGAGGTTTTTTTATTTCTCCTTCCAAGTAAAAGCATGTGCACAGCTCTCCTACCTCACAAACTATTCAATGAGAAAGAAAAAAACAAAACAAAACAAAACCACAACCCAAAACTTCTGGAAACCTTTTCTTGAAAAAGATCAGCAATTTCAAATACCATGTTATGATCGATATCCAAAGAAAATAAGTTCTTTGTACAGAGGGTAATATTAATTTTATCTCAGCATTACACTCCACTTGCATAGGGTTTGTAAGAGAAGAGATGTATGTTACACAGAAACAGATACAGTTCCTTAAAATCATTATATTTACAAGCACAACAGGGATTGAAACCTTTGATTAACTAAGAATAGAGTTTTCTGTATTTCTGCACCCCAATCCAATGCTCCATCCTGAGTTCTGAGAATGCATACAACTCGAAAGAGGTCAGCTACGAAAAAGAGCATTTTGTATGGCTTATTTTGCCACCAGTAATCCAAAGCACGCTTCAAAATTCTCATGCACCCTAAATTCCCCCAATTCAGTATTCAAAACAGTCTTCCTTGTAGCTAACTGCTAGGGAGAAAAAAAGGTAAAAAATGAAAGTCAGCCAATATGTCTTTTAAAGTTAGTCTGAGCTCCTGTGGACCAGAACTCTATTAAACACCAATTAGAGCTGTTTAATTATTGAGAGATGTTGTGTATAGAAGAATTACAGTAGTTTGAATGCCTTTGGTACATTTTCTAAATGATATCCTGGATTTTTTTTCATCTGAACCCTAACACAGTTTCTTTCAGCTGCAGTAACTGGTCTATGAATAATTACAACATCTGCAACAGTTTCACCACTCAGTTATTATGCACTTGAGCTTAACTCAAAATTTAATTTCTACCTGAGAACTGATAACACTGGTAAATTCACTCACAGGAACCACTGCATTTTGCACTAGTGTTCAGTATCAGGAAATGAACGTTCCTTCCTTACTTTGCAATTTATTTTCTGCATGAACACTCCAAATAATAAGAAGATTTGCAGTGTGTTCTTGGATTATAGCACTCAGCAGGGATGCTTTGGTTCTGGTATTAACAATCATTACAATCTCAATTTCCTTCAAATCAGTGGTGCCCTCACTGCTTATAAAATTTGCTGTTCAGCATTTATGCCACATTTACTTTTCAGATTTTATTCATAATGGAGTAGGAAGATTGTTGCATCAGTTTTAACACTTCTTCCACATCTTCATTCTCTGAAGACTCTATATATGTAATAAATTACACTGTGTTGTAAAAAATACTTTTCCTTCTTTCAATTCCTCTCTGATGTCCCCAGCTTCCCCCCGCAAAGTTGATCTGATAAAAAACAAAACAAGGCCCAAGATGACTAAACCCAGAAAAACAGATTAGAAGATTACAAGTGAAGTACTTCCTTAACTAAGAGAGAATATAAAGTTTCTGCCTGAGTGTCACTTGACAGAAATGAAAATAGAACTCCCCTTAGCAGTTCACTCTTCCAATTTGCACGTTATACTTAATGCTACTGACAAACTGAAATAATGCTTGGTCCTTATACATCAAGCTTCATCTTCAAATCACACAATATTTATTACACTACTCTCAACAAAATTGCTGGGATCCAGCTTTATACTTATTTTTGTTTTACAGATACAGAAACCGAGGTAAGAAACACCCACAAGCATAAAGGACGAAGTAATCTGAATAGGTAAGCCAGAAGTAGCTCTGTATGAGCAGACTCATGTAAGATGCAGTACAGTCGGACTAATGCAGGTTCACCCTTCCCGACTACTACTGGAAGTATCAGAGACAGGGGTCAAATTCAATTTTTTATTTATAATTATGCAGCCTAAGCATAAAACAAAGGCTTGAACAGGGCAGCATCCACAATTTTAGTTTCACCTAACTTCTAACACTTGCATGAATCATTTAGTCTTTCCTGGTCTCATTTAATAATTTCCTTTTTCCACTTTCACACAGGATCTGAGATGTCATTAGTATTGGAAATTCATTCTAAAGTGATCAGACAAAAGGATCAATAAAAATACAGTGACCACCTGTATAATTTAATAAGTATATGTCAAATATTTTACCCAATAAAGCTTATAATCTCTAAATCTGCAACCTAACCATTTATTTCATATGCTCCAAAATCTTTTAAAAGACAAAAAATATTCCAGTGCTCATAAAAATATATCAGTCAATCCACAGAACTACTCAGACCTACATTGAGCAACGGAATTGAAATTACCATCCTTTTAATGCAACTAACAGATGAAAAGTATTTTGTCCTTACAAATCTAATTCTTATTGCTGTTGCTATATTAAAGTATCCTTTCAACAGAAGCAAAGTTCTCTTCTTGATTTAGGAATAATTCAATTAAATCTGATTTGGGCTGACAGGAATCCCTTTTTTTTAAAAAAAACAAAAAAACAAAAAAACAAGGTTCCTGCTGTCAGGAGTTCTCCACTTCAGAATTACACTCTGGAGTGATTTATGCAAATTCTCAAAATTTCTCTGCATGATATATGATTTCTTTTGGTAGGGGTTCACAAATTGGATTTTATATGTCAAATATTGAAAAGGGAAAACTGAAACAGGTCAGTGTTTTAAATGTGATTGATTTCTTCAAAAGAAATGGGTGACATGATGCATTACTGCAATAAGATACTCATATTTCTGTTATAAATCATAGGTTTTTGATGGTCCTTTTTTCAACTGGAAGTCATGCAAAACTATCTTGAACTGCTGCAATGGGAACTTTCCATAAAAACTTTTTCTTTTCTATAATATGTTATTTTTCCCTCAATTTGCTTTTACAGATGGACTTCAGGCATGACTGTTACTTCGCAAAAACCACTCAAGTCTAGACGGTATTATTGGAAAGTCACTTTTTTTTTTTTCCCCCACAACAAGAAAAACTGTAGGGTTTGAAATACTTCACAAATGCTAGCCAATGGCCGGTATCATGAAAAAGTGTAATACATGAGAACCTCGGTTTGGATTATTGGGTGGACGTACTTAAACAATCCTTGCTTCTCCACCAAACCCCACATTCTTCTACTTTTTCACCCTATCAATTATGATCTGTAGTCTTTCAGTGCTACAAATAGTCAAACGGGTATTAAATTCAAGCAGCATGGAAGAATGTGCAGTAGAAGACTCAATCTCTTCACACAAACAGCCCAGAAAGCAAATTCTGAAGCAGCATTAACTACTGACCTAAGTGATGGTTGGTAACCAGTCCTGACTTACAGCTCAGTTATCAAAAAGGCTGTAATAAGAACTGTAAGGGATAACTCTGTGAACGAAGAACAGCAGCAGCAGCAAAAGAAGTTTGGGAAAGAATGTCCAGCATGGCAGGTTTCTAGACTATTTTCATATATAGCTAAAAAAAACCTACTAAAAATTATATATGTGTGTTTGCTTCAGCTGAGGAATATATCTGAAACCACTTCAGCTGTGTCCACTGAAAATATTTTGATATAGTACCAGACTGGTTCTGAGCCACCTGAAAATGGACATGTATGTGAATAAGTGAGTTAACAGGACTGTGCAGCAGTACGGTAGTAGAAGACCTAGGCTTCACTGCTTGTGTTACCCCATACAAATTTCCATATTCACATTAACCTAGATTAACTCTTTATTCTAAACAGCAATTGAAACATAGTGTTCACATTCTTTCACATGGTTAAAACTGATTTTGCTTACTAAATGGGGAAAACCTTTCTCCCATGTAATTTTTATTAAGTATGAAAAGTTCCTTTAATAACTTGTCTTTGCACTTCTCACCTTAGCAACTGGAATTGTAGAGAGGATAATGCCTTCCTTTGTATTAGCCTATGTGTAGCTTGCTGAATATCAGAAGAGAATAGCCAACTTCTGTCATTTGAACAGGGAGCATCAACCAGGACCTATACAACACATAACAACAAATAAGACAATTCACAATAAAGATATTCACTTTCTGGACACTGTACGTCAAAAATCTCCTCAATTTACTTTTGCAAACACTTAGAATACCCCTTTTATTTTCCCTTGTAGGGGCAGAAATGATCTAATTGATAACTTGAGATGTTTTTATGGCAGGGGGGTGCAAAATAAGAAATTACTGCTCCAGGATTATCCTCTATCTGAATAGCTCTCACTTGTTACCCCCACTTCCTAACTGCACATCATGTAAAGAGCACAGCTACAAGGTCTTTAGAATTCACTACCAAAGCTAAACGGGTAACATCATCTAACATGTGAACAAATGCACTAGAGGATTCACAAAGTGATTCCTGAGGCTCTGCAAATCCTGTACATGACCTTGATTCCCCTCGATAGATCAGATATTTTTGCAGGGGCAAGAAAAAAAAAGAAAATTAAAAAAGAGAGCAGCATAGGAAGAAAAAGAAGCATAGTGCAGAAATATCATTTGCTAGTAAGTAAATAATGTTACCTTGTCATATAATTCAGACTTAAGATTTCCAATCTCTCTACCATCCAGTTCAGAGACCGTTATTAAGTTAATCAAAGGATCCGGAATGAAGGACTCTATTGTCTGTTTCAACCATCTTGACCTCAAATCATCATACTCGTTACAGTGAAACTGACCTTAGAAAATTCAAAAAATGAAGTAAACACCCTAAAATAAGTCTGGTTTTTTCTGTTTGTTGTTGTTTGGTTTTGGTGTTGTTTTTTTTTTTTTTTTTTCACAAATACAAGGATTTACACTGATTTCAGAAGTTCTACTGCTTTACCATGACTGCCATAGAGTTTACACTGTATGTGCTTATGTTATTGCACATTTTATAACACTACTGAATTTTTATAAACCCGAGTAAATTTCAACATGCTCCTGCAGAGGAATCCATAACTATTTATTAGCAAATACTTACTGTAGCTAGACTTCCACAGCAAAACAAACTTTAAACATGATCCAGATCCAAAGATCAGTGCTGAGTGAGTGCCTTTCTGGGCTCCTTGAGCCACTGTCTAAATTAAGTACACGCTCCTTATTAATTAATTAATTGCCTTTTAAATAAATAAAACATCAGTTTTGTGTTTCCTAAGCCAAGCAGTCCAACCCCTTATTTATCTGAAATTTAAGCTGTGTTTTAACAAGTGTCTTTTGGTTGCACTTCCTTTCGACAACATATCCAAAGTAGCTACCCCTTCAGAAGAAACACTGCTGTTGCTTGTACCCAGACCAGAAACACAGCATGATATTTTTTCTTCTTAGTCCTGTTTTCTAATTTAGTAACATTTCTATTTTCATATCTCCACAGGTTGTCCTAGACCATGTTTGCCACACACAATACAGTACATCTTAGCATTCACTGAGGTATATTAAGAGTCAACCTCCTTATATCTTATTTTATCAGCAACAATTTGGTTACCTTCAAAAACAGCCATAGGATAAAAGTATTTTTTTTTCAAACCTTTTGAAAGGGCAATCCACATTTAATCCACCTCAGTGGCATCACCTCATTCTTCTAGAAGAGGAAATGAGAACCAGCTGTAATCAACAGGTGCAGGTGGCTATAGTAATGGACTCATCAGTAAGAACATAAGGTGCTGCGAACATTTTGAGACAGTTACTACCCAAGCTAACATACAAGCGTGGAAACAACAATCCTAGCTCGCTTTAACTTCCTGGCCTGGAAGAACTGAGCTGCTGCTTGCTGTTGCCTTCTAAACACTGTGATTATCTTAGTGTCCTCCAGCAACATCCACGGATTGAGACACAGAGCTTTTTAAATACTGATATAAACCAATTCCTCATGATAGGCTTTTCCCCTCTACCTAGATTTTGCATATTTAATTTGTTATGCTCTGTTTTACATCAGTACACTTAAATTTACTTATCCTATTTGCACAGAACTGGCCAGAGAGGTAGCAGAGGAAAGAAAAAAAAGAAAAAAAGTGCTCTTAAGATTGCAGATTACTTACCTCCCTGTGCCAGCAAATCTACATGATTTTAAGTAACTTTTTGAGAAGTAACAATAAAGGAACCAGTGGAGCAAGAAAAACATAGAGCTGCTTCACTTTCATCTGTCAGTGTGCAGTAACCTATACTTAAGTAACTACTGCATTTTTCATCCTCTTTTAGGTAAATATTTTTCATAAAAATCGTACTAAACAGCATGGAACTACTTGGAATATAAACTATTGTTTGGTTTTTTGCCCCCAATCCAAATCTTGTACAGAAAACAGGCACAAGTGAAATAGGCTAGGCAGAGAGCCAGGGATCAGCTTCTAACAGCACCTCGATACGTTACCTGGATAAGCACACTGCAGTATAGCTACTGATTTACCCCCTGGTGCAGCACAGAGATCCAAAACGTCTTCCCCATCTTTCACTTCTAATGCCAGCACTGGCAACAGCGAAGCAGCATTCAGCAGATAATACTCTTTCAGTTTACCAGCCTGGTGCTTTTGCGCAGGGAATCTCCCAGGAGTTCTCCTGATGTAACACTTCAGTGATGCTGGAAGATAGGGCAAAGGTCCTTGAAAAGCAGGATGATATCCCTTCACATGCAAGGTGTTCTCCAGTTCAGCAGACTGGCTGAACTTGTTAAGCAGGACAGCATACTGCCAGTACAACGGGCATGTGAGTACATCTCTAGATTGAAAAAAGGAAAAGCTACTTAACTTGGCAAATAAGCTTTCCACAGCGTAAGAAGCCTTTTCTTACATGAGAGTAATGATCGCATCATTGGATGATTCTGGTACAATCAAAAAGGAATCTTTTTGATTAGACACAATTAAGTAAAGTATGCAGGAAAATAATTTCAATAGGAAATCAAGCCACCATTTTCTCTAATTATTGCATTTAAAACACTAACTTCTTCTAAAAGGAGATGTTATCTATTTTCCCTAATTTTTTAACAAATTACTGTAGAAGTTATAAATTATGAAGCATAATGCTCTGACTACAAAGTACTTCCCTAGGGACAAAGAACAACTGTAATATTAGTTGTAAATATCACAACGAAAAGAATCACATCAGGTTTGCAATGGTTATTCCAGACAACACTGTAAAATGCAGTTTTTACAATCATTCTTTTCTATATTTCCTTTTATATTCTGCAACCATTGGGACAGAAAAACTGAAACTGATAGATATTCCTGGAAGACAGCCAAAGACCAGTGCTTATATGGTAGGAGCACACTTGTTCATATTTTGGTTCACTTTTTCAGACCTTTCTTACATGGATTTCCCCCATTTTCTATTTGAATTTATCTCATCATTTCTTCATTTAGCCTCAAATGTACTCCTCAGGAATATTCCCTGCCTAAAAAGAGAAATATGCACTGAACCAACCTAAAAGAGTTTTTAGGTGGATTCACTTAAACTAGTACTGTATATCTATGCTTTAAAAAAAAAAAAAAAAAGTAGACACTTATGTTAAACTATTTTTAAATCCAGACAGTCTATACCAAAGAGGGCACTCAGAGGAATCCCATGGTTTCTAAGACCTATCACGTAAACTGCCTTTCCCTTCAAAGTAACATGGCACTGACCATAGGAGCACTTCTCACACACTTCTGGTCAAAATCAACTGCTTTTGTTCTTTTGCTGAAAAGTATATAAGCTGAAGACTGAACTTCTCCAGAAAGGGCTCTTCTGCTGGCTTTCCCATGAGCGACAACCACCAGCTAGCAGCGAAGGGATGACGTCTTCTCTCAATACAGTTCTTTGTCAGCTTAGTGACCAAGGTCTGAATTAAGCCATAACCTTTTCTGCATATGTTGTTAACATTCAATTTCTTCTAATGAAAGAAATCAGTGGATGTACTTCTCTCCTAATATCTTTGTCCCAGTAACTCAAGATATTATACAGTTGTAGAAAAAAAAACCCCTAGCAGCAGCTGTTTAGTATAATGGGATGCTTCTTGGACCACATTTTCACAAAACACTAAGATGGCTGTCTCCTTGCTGTGCGTATGTATACAGGAGAACAGAAACTTCATCATGTCAGAAAAATCACGTCAAAGAAAAAACAAAAAAATTCCAAGTTTTAGTTTTCTGTTATATCACACTTTTATGCTAGTTCTAACCTGAAAATAAACTGAAGCAGTTGCTACAGTCCATGAGTCTTTTAAAAGTTATTTTATGAAGCACTTAAAAAATAACAGAACCTCTCCCCTCTCCCTCCCCCATCTCCCCAAAACAACAGACCTGACACTGGTCCATGTATCTCCCAGTTCCGTTGTGTACTGCTTCTCAAAATGATCCAGAACAACTTGACAAATCTGCTTTTGAAGTCTCCCTTTCGTTTTATTTTCCAGCTTCAGAGAAAGAAGGAAAAAAGCAAAGTAGTAAAAACAAATTAAAACCTCCCTAGTTCTGTCTAGAATTATTAAAAGAACATTTGATCAATTTAAATCAACACAGTATCAGTGATATTAGGATGCTCAAATATCAAAGTCACATCACACAGGTGATCAAGACATAACAGAAATCTCAGAGAACAAATAAGTTAAGCTCACATACTCTCTCCTTCCCTTCCCGTGAAGAGGTCGTTCAAAGCCTTTTGATAATACTCCTTCTCTGCATCCACTATGCTATTAATACAGCGGTTCCTGTGACTCTGACACACCAGGAGCAAAACAAGCAAGGCACGATGCACTATGATCACCTCTGCCTATGTGCTTAACTAAAATAAACTAATTCGAATCATTGTGGAAGTCGGCTGGAGTTGAACTGCAAAGCACTGCAACAACTAATTTCATAGAATCACAGAACAGTTTGAGTTGGAAGGGACCACGGAGGTCATCTAGTCCAACCCCCCTGCAGTAAGCAGGGACAGCTTCCACTAGATCAGGTTGTCCAGAGCCCCATCCAACCTGACCTTGAATGTTTCCAGGGATCTACCACCTCCCTGGGCAACTTGTTCCAATGTTTCACCACCCTAAGTGTAAAATATTTCTCCTTTGTATGTAGTCTGAACCTCTCCTCTTTTAGTTTAAAACCATTACTCCTTCTCCTATTGCTACAGGCCCTGTTAAAGTTTATCCCATCTTTCCTATTTATTCCAGGAGTAAGGAAAAATAAATCAGCTATATTTTTTTTTATTTTTTTGAACCTGTGACAACTTTATATTTTATTTAAGGGGGGAGGAGAAACACTTTTGTTTTCTAAGCAAACTTGCGCTATGCAGAAGGAAAACCCCGAAGGGAAACACTGAGTTTCGCTGGATTTCCCTCCCTAGGGGCACGACACAGACCCCGCTCCCCTCCGCACAGGCACCCCCGGCAGAACCCGCTCGGCTCCGAGTTACTTCCATGACCTATCAATTTATCAATTAAACACCGCAGGGCGTTTGCGGGTCCGGTTTTCTTCCCCCCGTCACCCGGCG